TGTTAAATTAAAAATTTTGTCGGCTCTTAAATTTAAAAAAATGTTAAAACTTTATGATTGTTTCCCTTACCTTATGGACTGTTCTCCATTCCCACACATGTACAAAAAACCCCACATGCAATCCAAAAATACAAAAAAAAATCTGGACTGTTAGGAGTTTGAAAGCAATTAAGTTGAATGAGAATCTACACTGGCTTATTTTGCTTTTTTTCTTCCTTATTATTTGTGGTGAGATCATGTCTGAAAAATCATGTCTGAGATCTCTGAAATTATTTGTGTAAATGTACTGAGGTTAGCAACTCTTACCAGCATATATGAATACTACGATTTCTTAGTCTATTTTAAAAATTTAAGGGAAAATATGTCTTTAATTTAATGAAGAAGTAAATGTATTTATGCCCAAATAAACCTTTGCAGCTTTATGTAGAAAGTAAAGTATAGATAGTAAAGCATTAGCATGCCAAACAGTAATAATTTATTTATAGTTTGACCCTGTTAGGAGGGTTAGTGGGTTAAGGCTCAGACCTTTGGATCAATGATGTACATGTCAAATCTTAAACTTCGTGCTAATCATCTTCTCAGCACTTAAATGTCAGCCAGGTCTTTGATGTCTGTTTGATTGTGCAGTTGTTATCAGTATTGTGTGACCTCTGAAGCACAGTTCCTCATGCTGTTACAGGAAAGGGTTATGGTAAGTGTTTTAAATAGTTGGGTAGCATGTGTAAGAATGTAGGCAGTAAACAGTTTTTTTTCCAAACTTCCTTATCTGTACAGAGTATGCTAAGCTGGTAGTTCTTTTGAGGAGTATTTTCTATTGCTGTTACCACTGGCTCAGCCTGAGGACAAACGGGGGCTGCGGTATGGCTTTGTCTGTGCATAGCTCATCACAAAGCCAGGCCTTGTGGGGAAACTGCAATGGGCCAGTGGTAGGGGTGTCCCCAAACCTGGATCTCGCTCCCAAAGATGAACCGCAACACTCCTCTGCTCAGTCTGTACGTTAGACATTAAATAGTGAAGTTATGAGCTTGAATTGCCCCCAAGTCATTGCAGGCTTGTGTTCTTCAAGCAATTTATGTTGGATTTTTTTAACAAACGTTAGAAAACAAAACAAGCATTCTTCTCAGTACAGATGCAGCCACAGTGACAGCCGGAAAGCTCTATCAAAAATATAGAAGAAAGCTGGAACTGGAGGAATTTGTCTGTATTTAGTGTTTCCAGGAGGTGTTTAGAGACCAGAGACCTCCTAAGCTTGTAAAGCAGTTATGAGCTTAACTGAGAAGCTACGTCCAAAGGGTCAAACCACAAATTATTTAGTCTCCTCTGTGGCTTGTGCTGCTCAGAATACAAAAGGAGAAGGTTGTCAATTATACTGGTGGTTTTTGAATGTTAAATATGGATTCTCTGAAAATGCACCTCAAACCTTGAATTTTACAAGAAAATCTCTTATCTGTTTTGTTTAAACAGGCCTTTGTTTAAGAATAAAACTTCAGAGATGTTTGCCTTTTAGACATAAGGTAAAGTATCTGTTCTGGAACTTGCTTTAAACTACATGAATGTATGCCAAGTTCTCTTTAGAAGAGTGTATGCTGCAGGATCAAGTAACTTGCAAGCTGTGATTAAGGGTGGGGTCTTTTTAAAGCTTGTCATTTGCCTATGGACTGAATGTTGCAGTACAGTGTAGCACGTGGAGGGATCTGTGAATAACTGTGGTTCTTCCTTTCCTTTACAAAAGACCATTTATTGCTGCACTTCTGAAGTACACTGTGTTTCAAGGGATTTCTTCACCGGCTGTCATTCGGGTTCTTGCTTGGTGGAAGAGAGGGTGTTTTCAAATCCAGTGCTACAAAGAATCAAAGTCATACTCTTGCCTTGGGGGAAAGTGAATTTGGCGTTCTGCAATATTTCAATATATCTAAGCATCATAAATATAAAATATTAATAGTTACTGACTCTGCTGTACCATTTGGAATATCTGAGTTGTCTCCAGTGGACCAACCCTCTGTGAGTGTGACCTGAAAGCAAGACAACTACTCTGTCGTCAGTTAGAAACCGGTTAAGGGTAGTTCCACTACTTTATGTAGGCATCGTCTAGGAATCATTCTAAAAACTTCAGAACAGGTTCATTAGAGTTTAGAAAAACTGCAGAATTCAAAACTGGAACTGCATTGAAGGAATCTCTTTATGACCTGTGTCTTAGGAACTGTTGTATAGATGGCATATGGGCCTGACCCTGGTCAATATACTGTCCCTAACAGGTGCCAGCCCTGGCTATGCTGCTTGTGCGTCAGAAACTATATAGGAAATAGGGGGTTAATATATCCTTAAAGAAAGCTGTTTGGGTCTTAGCAGGAACTAAGAGTAGACCTTTAATGACAAGTATAGTCTTTTATAGACCTTTAGAAACTTGCCTGAAATAATTTGAAGTATAAATTCATTAGCTTAGGATTTCTGGTGTTGATATTTTGTTGTTGGTTTTTTGTTTTTATAGCTGCTAGCTTCATCTTTCCAGTTAAACAGTGTAAAGTGAGACTTGCATCTCTAGAAAATTAGGTAGACAGTGATTTGTTGTGCTGGACACATGGTAACAAATAGGTTTAGCTTCAGTGAGATAAGATAAAAGGCATAGGATGCGTTTACTTGGTTTTCCTTTGGTATGTCAGTTTTATGAGATCTCCTTGTAACTCAACATGTGTGAGGGGTTTTTTTGTTGTTTTTCCCAGGCCTGTTAAATGCATGAAGGAGATTTAGGTCTGTTTAGATTCTAGTCTTACAATTTGTTCCCATGCAGGAAATAGATACTGCATTACACTACCATTTTCAAATAGAATATCTGTGATTCTCATCATTGAGCAAAACTTTTGGGAAGAGATTCTTAAGGATGTCTTTTCAAGAGTGCTTAGCCTGTAAAGTGACACTTGCATTTCTGGTGGCTTTTAAACAAATTGTTCCTGAATTGTGGCCTGCAGAGAACTTGTTGGAAAAGTAGTGCCAATTCTCCACTCTGTTTCTAGTAGCCTAACTGCAATTACTTTTTCACAAGAGTAGTTGATGTTAGTGAGGAATGAATGCCTCCACAATTTTGAAGAAGGATTATTGGGACCTCTGTGAAATGGGGGAGGAGATTGTCTTGTGATTGTGTTGCAGTGAAGTCTAAGATCAGTTCTTGTCATTGATCCCCTTTCGTTGTTGGTGAACATTTTCAAAAGTGTGAACTACATGCGTTGTATGTGTACTGTAAAATTTTTTTCTTCCAATAATGAATATATTCAACTGTTGATGTATGCATCTAACATTAATGATCTCTCCTCTAGCTGGAAATCTACATATCTGAAGGTACACATTCCACTGAAGAAGACAGTAAGTAGAGCTTATGAATGAGTGCAGCTTTAGACTGTGTGTTTGTGTTTTGAGAAGTCCTTTTCTTCCTCTACCTTGCTATCCTTTTCAGAAATGAATACACTGTTAAAGCTTTAAAATGAAACATGTAATTGAGGCTGTTTCACAAGCTGTATTGGTACTGTGAACATACGCTTCTTGTTGTTTTGTTTTTTTAAACAAAACCCCCACAGTTCTTGCAGGTGTTGTTGTGTTTATAGCAAAAGAAGTTGCTACTGTGCTGCTGAATAATTAACATGAAGAACTTTCTGACTGGTTGATCTTGCTATCTTAACATCATCATAACAAAAATATGTTTCTCAGTTAATGTTTAAAGTAAAACTTGCGGGGCATCAAAATTCTTCCAAAGCTGTAGCCAATCACTGGCTTAAAGAGCTGTTAAAGCCTTTGTCCAGGCAATGTTCCAGGCTTTTTTGTTTGTAAGCATTAGGCATCTTTATATGGGGAAAATAATTTCTTTTGATTAGAAATTGAACCTGGAGAACTTGGACTACTAATTTATCACAAATTTCACGCTTGATTTCAAGACATGTCATTAGTGCATCTTACATTCTTTCCCT